TCATATCTCATCGGAGCAGAGCTCTGTCGTTCATGTGTTAGATATCTTTCTAACATGGCTAATCACAGCTCAACGGTAACTGGCACGTGCTAACAGAGCTAATCCCGAATACTAAGGTTTATTCAGTTGTACATAATGATAACATGACATGTTTCTGAGCAGCAGTGACTCTCGTGGTGTAAGGTTCAATTAGTCATTAAGAAACGGGCCTGTCTGACTGCGCACCTAACTCAGGCCTGCTCACTGTTAGCATCAGAGCTACATTAGCTCTGCAAAAACGACTGGAACGGCGTCTGTCGCACAGCTCAACGACACACAAAAGACATCACATAAAACCCTCAGAGCTAACCTAATAGAAGTTTGCATCCACAAGCTATACCTGTTTATAGTGTCCACCAAAACGAACGGGGGTTAATCTCCGCGGGTGAATGTCGCCACACGCCTCCTTCTTAGTATTCCGCCTTCACCGAGCTCAGCCTCTAGGGGGCGCTGATTAGCCAGATTTTTCCGGACTCTGAAAACATGAAAAACACCGACCTTTGTCTAAAACATTACACAAACTATTCATAACAATGTATTGTGTCGCACCACCAAATCATGAACTCAGATGTTAAAATCACTTCCTTGGCTGCGTGTGTACAACTTGGACACATATGAATTATGATGTCATCAAAGTAGCCTACATGTAAAGACATATTTTGGGCATTGTGTATTTCTTCACTCTTCATCCAATCACAAACCTTTATTAATGGTTCATAGAAATCAGCTCACTCCATATTTTATCTTGCTATTTAAAATTTAGCCTATCTTGTCTTAAACTTGTCCAGCTGTACTGTCCTTCATACAACATTGCAACATTGAAATGTGTGAATGCATTTCCTCATCAGTCTTATCACACTGTTCATCAAATTTTTTTCATTACCAAATCAAAAGCATATAGACATTTAAAGCCGAACAATTATTGAAGCATACCCCTAACAGAATCAAGTGTGTCCACATATGACAGCTTTTTTTTTATAGGAGGATCATTATACAGGGTTATTGCACCTGGTGTTTACATTGGTATTTATATAGATGGATATTTATATTTATATCTATAATGTAAATGTAAACACCCTGTGCAATAACCCTGTATCATGATCCTACTATTGATGACGTTGTTGATGACTTGTTGATGATGTGTGAGCCTGTTAAACCCTAATATTACGGGCTTGTTGCGTGTCAGAACTAATGTTTTTGCAAGTAGTTTACTTAAGGGACAGTTGGGATAAATAGTCATCTTCATTAAGCAAGTGGCAAAGATTTGTATGAATGTTATGAGAGTGGTGTCCTTGATCTAAGAAGATAGTGTAATATTTTGATAAGGCTGGAGCCATGGATGTCTCCTCATTTACAGGCGTGTATGGTGTAATGATGTGGCAGACTGGAGTTGCATGAAATGCTTTTTTAACTGTGATTCAAGGCCACTCCAAAAAAATGTGAGCCTGATTTGTAAGTTTAGCCTTAACAACAAGTACATTCTCTGGACTGAGTAAGATTATAATTTTTGTCAAAATCTTTTGTCATGTCTCACGGTTATTCAACACATATACATTATGAAGTGTTATTTAAGCAGTTTCTCCGAAGAGATCTCTTCTCAGGAAAAGAACCAGAGAGAGAAAGCTTCAAGGTGTAAACAAAGAGCTTTCCTTAACAAAGATTATTAAAGCTTTTTATTCTTTTTTTCTGAAGTTTTGATTTTTCATTATACACTGCAAAAAATTGTTATCAATTTCAATTTTTCCTAAATTAAGTGCATATTTTCTTGAATTAAGCAGGTGAGTGAGACACTTTGGAAATGAAATAAGACAATTTACATTTAAAATAAGAAAACAGCAGTTGCAGTCTCTTATTTCAAGTGAATAATATCTTATCCTATTTTAAGCCTAAACATAGTCATTCCAATGGCAGATCTTATATACCCACTCAAATTAAGGGTAAATACACTTATTTTAAGAATTTCTTTACTCATTTCTAGATCATTTTTGCAGTGTATGTGCTAAGCTGTTGAAAGTTATATAATTAAATTTCATATTTTGCCTCACAAACCAGGGCATCATAGTAATTTTTACCAGCTATCCTTACGCTCCTTACTGTTTTTATAGTTCCCCTTTTTTCATTAAGAATTTGCAAATCCTTATCCTCTAACTTTAATTGAATTGCTCTTGGTCAATCTATTTTCTTTACCAAAACCATTCAATAGCTAAAACACGTTATGTTACACAAGTTTTTATTTTAAAATTTTTTAGACCAAAAAAGTGAAGTATTTAAAAAGTTATTTGAGTTACTTTATCTATTATAATTAATTCTTTTTTACATTTGTTGATGGTTTCTTACGGAATTTCTACAGGACCTTCTGTGTTGCATTCTTGTTCAAATCGTATAATTATTATTCCCTAAATATAAGCTGATAAAATATTTTCAGCATAACAAAAAAATAAATTCTTTTGCTCACAAATCACTAAAAGCATAATTTATTAAAAGAGTGTGTACTTGTCGCCACTAAGTGTCACTGTAAGACAGGATTTATAAACTGAACCTGTATTAGCCTGAAATGAAAGGTTAGTGAAAGAGTTTATGTTGTTGAAATAAACACAAAAATGGCTTCAACTATGCTTCATTGCATCAAGCCAGATAAAATAAATGATTAGTTTTCCACAACTTTTTTCTGTTGTTGCTTTATATAAATGGGCTTTACAGTGAGAATTACTGCTCAAGCTTTTGATTAAATTTCATGTTATATAGACTGTTTAGAGTAGCTTACAGGGGAAACCAAATAAAATGTTTTTTAAGGAGGAAAAGATAGATTATTAAAAGATAAATAGATAAATAAATCTGCATGTCTAGCAAAAACAATCTGAAATGTGAGCATTACTTTCACCCCTGGAACACATGGGATTATACAGGCAGTCTGTTGTGAACACAGGGTGTTATAAATGCTCTTCAGATTCTGAATCTGTGCCTAGTGTAAACTTTCTAATCAGCAAGCTGGGATCTGGCATCCTGTGCTGCACAGCAGGTGAAGAGAAAATCTCTTACATACCATATCTGTACATGTGTGTATGCATAAACTCTGTTTCCTACATTTCCTGCAGTCTGTCATGGTGACAGGAAGCCTGTTTTCATTTCCAGCCTGCTGCTATTTACTCAGGACCTAGGTCACATTTGTGACATTCATTTTGTCTTTAACTGTTGCTGCTTGCCCCACTATCTACACCTTTTCTTTCCAACACGGCCGTTTCTTACTTTGCAGTTAATCATTTCAACAGGATTTGATGGTCTATGAGATGGTGATATTTACATATTTTGGGGCTCTTGCTTTAGATAGGTAAAAAACCCTTCGAATAAACTATTGTTTGCAGCAAATACAATATTATAAATATTAAACTGTATCTTCTGGAAGAGAAAAAAATCTCTGTTGAAAGTATAGTTTTGAATTTATTTTTTTTATATACAATGTTACTGGAATGTCTGCCAGTATATCTTTGTGCAAGCGAATTTTTTACTTAGATGCCCAGGATGGAAGATTGATAATAATAGAACATTATCAATCTCACACTGGAGAAATTCACCTCTGCATTTGACCCATCCTCTTGGTTTTGGTTAGCGATTCTTGTCCAGGTAAATGGCAGGTTGCATAAAGAAACTTTCCTGTTATTCATGTCTATATATTGGATATTTTGATGTAGGTCACAGCCATTTTACATTCAAAGTAGCACATGTTAATGGTCTGGGAGCAGGTGGGACAAAGCTGTATTGAAAGTAGGTGAGCTAATGTGGTTGAGTTAAATTTCCTGCAAAAAAAACTCAAAAAAACAGGGGAAAGATGAAGACAAGAGAGCAGGCGGGGTGGAGTAGATGAAGGTGAGAATCAGGGGTGATCTAAAATAGAAGGATAGCTGCAATAATCAAAGGAAACATTTACAAGACTGAGCTAAGGCGTGCTGAGACGTAGGCACAATAAGAGACAAGGCTGATAAACCTGGAAATGTTTAGAGCAGGGGTCTGAAACCTTTCTAATCCAAAGAGCCATTTTCCCAGCCGAATAAAAGTCATTTAGAAGCAAAAAATTACACAACCTTCAAATAAACCAAAAACTATTATTTTTGTACTATATCTGCAATAGGAAATCTGATGTATGATCAGTGGGAATTTTTTGCTTTTGAAAACCAGACACGGAGGATCTATTTAAAAAGAAATCGCAAGGAAATGCCTAGTGCATCACAAATTATATAAATTATTTAGTTAATTTAGATTTTTCAGAACTGTATTTCTTTTTATTTTCCAATGTATAGTGACAACTTTCAAAAATGTTAATTCACATGTTTAGAAAATTATTACATGGGCTTTACTGGGTTAAATAAGAACAACACATAAAAGTTTTCTTAAAAGCATAGTCTCCAAGCTTATGACAAAAATAGATCTAATGACATTTTTCTAGTTCTTTAACCAGTACAGTTCTTTGAATCCACATGTTCTTTATAAAAACAACTTATCCTTTCAAAAATAGTATTTGTTAATATATTTAAAAACATGAATTGGTTCTTTATCCTTGTTAGGCACTATTATGACCCACTGTAGAGGGTCCAATGAGCCGCTTGTGTCCCAGGAGCCACAGGTTGCAGATCCCTGGTTTAGAAGAACATAAAGGATGCTGACTATATAGCTGCTAGCGGGAAGGAAATGGGAAAGATCACAGAGATGAAGGTATGTAGTGATATGCAGAAGGTTGGAGTCAAAGAAGAGGATGGGAGAGATAGTGAATACAAAGAGATTACTTACTGTAACGACCTCTAAAAGGACCGGCCATAAGCTGAAGAAAATGATGGAGGTAGTGCTGACTTTATGTGATTGTTCTGTCAAGATTTATCCTTGCCTCGACCTCTTAATGTCCCACTAGTGCTACCCATCTTATAAAGACAGTGAAAACCCCTAGCTCTTAACAAGATGAAAAGCAAAACTGGTAAATGCACTTTTATTAGCAATCCACATGTGCTGATTATCCCGAACGGAAAGTAAAATGGGACAGAGTGAAGTAATACAGTCATACCTCCATACTGAACCACAGTACAAAAACGGTATCAATATGTACAATATATCCATGTACAAAAAAAAGCTATTTTACACACAGATATGAGTAGAAAAAAATCATACATCTTGCAGTATTACAGAAACAAAACAGGCAACAGTGTGGTTTTAAAAAACGTGGCTTTAAAGCCTTTTCTTCGGAGGCATACACTCCCTTTTCACAAGTAGATCATCTTTGTTTTATTTTGTTTAAGTATGTTTCTGCCCTTTTTTTCTCCTCACATACACTCATAATTTACGCTCTGTCATTCACTCGCAGGCGCTCTCACAAACACTCATCAACACAAATATCACAAGTGCTAAACAGGGATTGATTCAGAAGCTAAATGATGTTCTGCACACCTGTCAGATGGTGAATTAGAGCACGATAAGGGACTCTCCTGGCTGTAATGCAGGCACTCAAAGGTGGATCTTTAAATGTTCAGATTTCAGTCAACCTTCACAACTTTTTTTTTTGCCACCAAATGATGCCCAAAGATGTTTTTGTGAGAAAGATTTCTGATCCTTCATTTAGCAGCATTTCTTTCTTCAAGAATCATCTGAGAGCCATTTTAGTTTATAAAGGTCAAACATCTTCCCAGTCTCCATAACTGCCATGTTGGAATCATTGTAAATAATGGGACAGCAGTCCTGTCAACAAAAAAAGTGCTACAAACTGAAAACAGAAGTCCAGGATATGGTCAAACCTCCAGCTCCTGATTGTCTGTGCAGTGAAAACGATTCAGCTTCTCTCTTTCTCTGTTTGAAATGTCCATTTTGGGGGCATGAGCTGGTTTTAAAGCTGGGGAAGGGTGTGAAGGTGCTGGAGAAGGCGGAATGGTGAGTTCAATCTCCTCGTAGCAACGTGAGACGGGAGCTGGGGGGTGAGGTTGAGTTGAAGCAGGAGAGAGGTTGGGCCCGGGGGGGCGCTCCACATTTCTGATCAGGTTCACGAATTCTCTCTGGTTGTTAATGCTTTCTTCCTGCGGGACAGACTGCTGCTTTGTCCTTTTCCGATGCAGGCGAGAGAGGACTACTGTGCAGACGATGCAGCAACATATTGTCACCAGAGCCAGGATTCCCAGCAGGATCATGTAGATGCTGAGACCACTGTGTGCTGTGTCGGACATAGCACCTTCAGAGGAGCAGCAGAGGTTAGAACATGCTGTAATTCTGCTTTTTGACTAAAGATACAAACAACATCAGCCTCACCTTGACAGTCCTGTCCAATGCATGGCTTTCTGAGGCTCACACACTCGTTGCCATAATAACCATCAGGACATGTACACACAGGTCTTCCCTCTGAGCTTTGACACTGCACCCCCTGCTGGCAGGGGTTAGGGTTGCAAGGATAATTTTCTATCTGCAATGACAAAAAGATTAAGACAATAAAAAGCCTTTATGCTCATACTGTAAACAGGGATCCATCCATCCATCCATCCATCCATCCATCCATCCATCCATCCATCCATCCATCCATCCATCCATCCATCCATCCATCCATCCATCCATCCATCCATCCATCCATCCATCCATCTTGCAGCCTGTGTCATTAAACTGTAGTTTCCAGAATATTTACTGATTTTTTTCACTATTATATGGTATTGCTTCGTTGAAGTGTTTTGGGTTGGTTTTTTTTTTGTTTACAGAGTTGGATTTATATCAAGTCTCATGTCAACTAAATGTTAAGCGCCTTCAGCATCTGCCGCTGTAGCCAAGTGTCAGAGGAAGATGCAAACCATTGCTCAAAAGGTTGAAATGCTGGGCCTGCTGAAGGAAGAAGGGAAAAGCTATGCGACTGTAGGGCACTGCTAAAGAAGGAAGAAAAGCATATAAGGACCAGAAAGTTTAAAGCAAAAATTGAAGAGGTGTGTAACCTTTCGCAATTAGACTATCGGGAGAATCCAGTCTGCATTAATCTGGTGGATCAAAGACTCTAGGAAAAAGAACATCATGCTGGATATGAACACCATCTGCACAAAGAAAAAAATTACTGTGAAACCTGAGCTAAAAATGATGAGGGTCGGTCCTGACAATGAAAAGGACAAGGATGCAGAGTCAGGCTCATCCAGTGCTTCTCCCACAGGAGAATAATTTGGATAAGACCAGATTTTTTGGAAAGTTAATGCCTTCTCAAACCTTCAGTCAAAAAGACTTTGGCTGTGATTGTGTGTGAAAATTATGTAGCTTTTATGATAAAGCCAGGGTTTATTTATAAGTCAAAATCCCAACAGCCCTAAAAACAAAAACAAGAATGCGTTGCCTGTTTACTAGAAACACGATGCCAAAGCCTGGATAACAAAGTGCTCCCCTCTGGTTTCAGCAGTGTTTATCCTAAAGGTGAAGTGTTTTCTGAGAAAGAAAGGCCTTGGTTTTAAAGTGTTGTTGATCTTAAATAATTTTCAATTCAATTCAGTTTATTTATATAGCGTCATTTCACAACACATCATCTCAAGGCACTTTACAGAGAGAATACTGTCACATTGTTTGAAAAAAAACAAACAGTTGAAAGCATCCAGTCATTGATTTGCAAGACATGCTACTCCAGGATGAGCTTGTTGTTGACTCTTCATCAACCCCTCATCCTGGGCATGCATTTGGTGACAGTGGAGAGGAAAACCCCCTTTTAACAGGAAGAAAGCTCCAGCAGAACCAGGCTCAGTGCAGGGGGCCATGCTGTTGATTTCCAAACACAACATCACTGATTCAGCCTATGGATTATGGGATAATCGGACCAAGATTTCTCACTTAAGGTTTACTAGCATGAATACACCATTGCATTGTGTCTCCTAAATATTCAGAGGGCCAATCGGGAGATAGAGAGGGAAACCTTGAATGCCTTCTGGAAAAAAAACTGTGTCCAGAAGTGATCATAAGGGATGTTCTGCTGATCATCTTTGTCCCTCTGTGGTGGATACAGCAGTAAATCTGGCTTGGGGAAATTACCTTAAAGATACAAATCCTGCTGGAATAAATACACCGATTGATGCCCCCAATGAACTGTTAACAGGCAAAGACCTGGCAAAAATAACAAGCCTGGAAGTAAAGAAAATTAGGAAGAGGACGCAAATGTTGAAGAAGAAGAGGAGATCAGACTAACACTTGATCACCTAGCAACCATCATCAGAATAGGAAATGAACTTCAGCAGAGCCATGAGTGGTACCCCTTGATGTTCTGCTCATTACAGTTCACTAAAAATATTTATTTTTTCTCGCCCAGAAAAAATTGCAGCACTAGAACCTCCTCATAACCATGATCCTCACTTATGAAAAGACACCAACACCCAGGCCTTCTGTGGGAATGAGTTTTACTGATGACAGTGGGGATGCAGAGCTGTAATATATTGAAAGAGTGGAGTAATTATTGTAAACTTTTTCCTCTTAAAATTCTATATTCCATTTCAACAGATTTTAAAATGAAGAAAGTTGTGGGGTTTTTTAGAATCTATATATATATATATATATATATATATATATATATATATATATACAACACGAAGGACATGGATGAGATGCGAGAACAGGGTTCTATTACAATGTTACTACCTAAGTAACCCTGACCAGAGAGGCTATATGCAAAGGATGTGGGAGAGACTTTGATACCCACAGTCTACAATCACAGCTAAAAAACTAGTAACTCAAGGTTCTAACATCCGTAAATGACAACTGCTCTCACAACTTGAAATTGACGAGGTACAAAACCACTGTTCTAGCAAGGAGGAACTAGAACCCCAGGTCAGAGAGGAGTTAAAACCAGCCGCCCCACCAGAGATTGAGTATGCTCAAAAAGCGTACCCGCACTGGACGAGGCAGCAACTGACCTGAAAAATAAGATCATGGCAAAGATGTCCACCAGGCAACCCCAAAGCCAGTTACAGAGACTAAGTCAGGTACCATCAAAAAGTCTACTAGCAAACGTGAATGCAGCTCTGCAAGCAATTCCTACATCAGCCATCACTGACACTGATGAGGTGATATACTGCACAGCAGCAGTGATCCTAGAGATGCACTGCTGTAAGAATAACCATGTGATTAAATACTCACCATGGAAAAGAAGGCTGGAGGATAACATCAAGGCAACAAGGAAAGAAGTGAGTCAATTGACCAATGCTCTAAGAGGTGCAATGAAAAAGCAAGTACCCAAGAGGTATAGCCAGATGCCCATACCTGAAGCATTGGAAACTGCCAAACAAATGTTCCAAGCCTTGGGCAGCCGCCTAAGATACACGAAAGACAATTAAACCAGACGGTAAACCGGCTGTTCGCTACTCAACCAGTGAAAGTGTACACTCAGTGGCAGGGGAACAATAGTAGAATAACCCCACCAGGCTGGAAACTGAACAGTACTGAAAAGACATATGGGAGAAAGATGCAGCACACAACAGGGAGGCACTGTGGTTGGTAGCTCTGAAAGAGGACCACAGCAACCTCCCTGAACAGGATCCAGTCAACATCACAGTGGCAGACATCTAAGAAAGAGTCTCAGGCATGAAAAACTGGACAGCACCAGGCCGCAAAATGATACACGCCTACTGGCTTAAGAAACTCACGGCTCTCCACAAACGCTTGGCAGCACAAATGAACCAGCTGCTGAGAGATGGGAACCACCCTGAATGGCTAACCGAAGGGTGCACAATCCTGTTCCTGAAAGACTCCTAAAAGGGTAGGGTTCCATCCAACTATTGGCCCATAACATGCCTCTCCACAATGTGGAAGCTCATGTTCGGGATCATAGCGGCTAAGATATGCTGGCATGTGGATCAATACATGAGCACAGCTCAGAAGGGAATTGGCAAAAATACCAGAGGTGGCAAACACCAACTCGTGGTAGATAGACCAGTCGCTCAAGACTGCAGAACCCAAAACACTATGACTCAATGCCACATACTTGGATCATTGAATGCTTGGAGCTATATAACATCAACAGGACTCTAAGAGCCTTCATTGCAAACTCAATGCAGTTGTGGAAAACCACCCTTGAGCCCAATGGCAAGATATTTGCACAAGATGCACAAGTCTCCATCAAATGTGGCATATACCAAGGAGATGCACTACCCCCACTGCTGTTCAGCATAGGTCTGAACCCCCTCAGCCAAATAATCAACAAGACTGGCAACAAATACTGACTCAGGAACGAGGCCACCATCAGTCACCCCCTTTACATGGATGACATCGAGCTGTATGCTAAGAATGAGCAAGACATTGACTCACTGATCCATACCGCCCGGATCTTCAGCACAGACATCAAGATGTCATACAGACTAGAGAAGTGTGGTCGGGTGGTAACTAAGAGAGGGAAGGTAGTCCACACAGAGGGGGTCTCACTACCAGAAGGAACAATAGCAGACATTGAGAAAAGCTACAAGTACCTTGGAATCTCACAAGCAAATGGCAACCTTGAAGAGATGACAAGGAAAGTGGCTATGGCCAAATACCTCCAACGAGTAAGGCGGGTCCTAAGGAGCCAGCTCAATGGCAAGAATAAGTCTCGGGCAATAAATAGCTATGATCTGCCGGAAATCAGATACCCTGCAGGAATAATGAGCTGGCCAAAGGAGGAGGTACAGGGCACAGATGTTAAGACACAAAAGCTCCTAAACATACATGGAGAGAACCACCCCAAATCCAGCTTCCTGAGACCATACGCCAGCCGTAAGGAAGGAGGCCTAATGAGCATAAGAGCCACTATCCAGGATGAAACATCCAAGATCCATAACTACATCAAGGACAAGGCTCAAACAGACGACATCCTCAGTGAATGTCTCAGACCAAGGGGAACAGAAGATGAGGTGCCAGAGACTCTGTCATGGGAGGATAAGCCCCTACACGGGATGTACCACCGAAACATAATCGAAGTGGCAGATATCAGGAAATCCTACCAATGGCTAGACAAAGCCGGTCTGAAGGACAGCACGGAGGCACTGATAATGGCTGCACAGGAGCAATAAGCACCAGAGCAATAGAGGCCTAGATCGACCACAGCAGACAAGACCCCAGGTGCATACTGTGTAAGGAGGCCCCTGAGACAATCCAGAACATAACTGCAGGGTGTAAGATGCTGGCAGGGAAAGCTTACATGGAGCGCCATAACCAAGTGGCTGGAATAGTATACATCTGTGCAGAGTATGGGCTGGAAACCTCAAGGTCAAAGTGGGAAACACCTCCAAAGATTGTAGAGAATGACCAAGCCAAGATCCTGTGGGACTTTCAGATACAGACAGACTGACTGGTAATGGCAAACCAACCGGGCATTGTGGTGGTGGTGAAGAAACAGGGGAACGCCCCTTGACATAGCAAAACCAAGTGACTGCAACATCAGGAAAAAGGAACATGAGAAACTAGAGAAATACCAGTGGCTCAGAAAAGAGGTGGTAATACAGACAGACCAACTGGTAATGGCAAACCAACCGGGGATTGTGGTGGTGGTGAAAAAGCAGGGAAATGCCGGTTGACATAGCAATACCAAGTGACTGCAACATCAGGAAAAAGGAACATGAGAAACTAGAGAAATACCAAGGGCTCAGAGAAGAGCTGGAGAAAACCTAGAAGGTCAAGGCATCAGTGGTTCACGTGGCTATTGGGGCACTCGGGGCAGTGACCCCCACACTTAAAGAGTGGTTACAGCAGATCCCTGGAAATACATCAGACATCTCGGTCCACAGGAGTGCAGTTCTCTGGTAAAGGACCCGAGTTGGAGGACAAAAGTGGGGAAGACCGCCCGCGATGGGTCAGGAAGAGTTTTTTATGTACCCAAATGTATTTAGAAAACTGATGTATGACTCAAAGAGGAGAGGCAAAGTTTATAAAAGGAAAAACATTTTATTTCTAATATATTGTATTTATTCATAAACTTTTGCTTTAGATTTATTAATTATATTACTTATATTATTTTTAGCTATCACCCTGGAATATCTGTCACTCACTCCTTACTCTAGGATGTTTAATAACCATTCAGGGCTCCATGTTAACCATCGCCCGGGGCAAGTAGTTTTTACTGTCGGGAGAGTACCAATTTCATTGCATTTGCCTGCCGGGCAAGTGCAGAAAAAAAAAAAAAAAATTGATCACTCAAAATTACTTTAAAATCACAGACATTCGATGAAAACAACCCAGAAGCGTAGCTGGCACCATTTTATTTTCAGCCAGATGGTGTGATTTTTGTCCACCTAGACTTGATGCAGGTCATACATTAAAACATTTTCATAAATTTTTTTTCTCTTAGACATTGGAGAGGTGCATTTAAATGTTATAGAGCTAAACATGTTAAATTGGTGACCTGTTATGTTATTGTTATTGTCTTGTTGCTGCATTTATTTTGTCAGGGAAAACTAATCAACTGAGTCAGTTAAAAGTCAGGGAATTCTGAAGTTATGTAAGACTGTGGAAACCCTGTATAAAATAATTATGTATAATGATTCTCTAGAAAAGTCACATTATATTAATAGTATTATCTTGTATAAACATACCGTGACTCTAAAATAAAAGTTATTCATTTGTGACATTGACTTCTGTCTTGTGATTTATCTTAAGTTTTTAACTTGTCAAGTTTTTTTTAGATTTTTAACAGTACAATTTATATTTTTCCAAGCACACAACACTTTAAAGCAAAGTTTAGTTTGAAAAGAATATGCAGGAAGGATTGAAAATCATGTTAGCACGGTAATGTAGGCTTGAGTTCATTATCTGACACATGCATATACACACCAGGAACCTGTAAACTTAAAAAACACTTAATTACAAAAAACATTTAAAAAACAAACATGTTTCATTGATATATATACAAAAATGAATATTAGGAACTATATTTATCAAACATTACTGGGCAAGTAAAAATTGTTTCTGTGCAAATGAAATGTGAAAGTCACTTGTCTGAAGGGCAAGTGGTAAAAATCCTTAACATCAACCCTTACCATTTTACTAAAGAAGAAGAGCAATTAAAAGAAACATGAAAGTCCAATTGCCTTGATAAAATATTCATACCTATATTATATATTATCAAGATGTACAACAGAACATTTTTTATCTCCTATCATCTCATTTGAGGTCTTAAAAGGTCATGCTATTATTTCAAGACAGCCTTTTCTGTTCAAATATCTTATTTCTCTCTTTTTAACATCTCCACACATCTTACTTAGCAGGTTGTGTATTTTTATTTGCAACACTATTCAATCAGATAATTAGTTTGTTATTGTTTTATTATGTTAGTTTTCTACCTCACAGAAGAGTCCTGAATACCCCACAGGGCAATCACAGGTGGCCGACTTTCCATCCTTCATCACACACTGCCCACCATGCAGACATGGGTTGCTGTCACATGGATCCAATCCATTTTGGCAATGTTTACCAGTGAAACCAGTGGGACACACACATCTTGACCCTGACAACTGGTCCTGCATTGGAGGATATAGATCAAATTTACATGACAATAACATGAATTTCACAGGAAAGTCACTAGAGGGAAATGGGGACATGTTATAGATCTGACACATAAAATAACATTTGTAGCTCTAATACTGTGAAATTAAGTTAAAGTTCTTTCTGGTTGTTTTTAAAGAAGTAAACACTAATGGAAGGAGGTTGAAGCAGAGTCGTGAAGAAAAAAATAAGCCACTCACCTCACAATGGCCGCCATTCAAACATAAACCCTGACAGCTGCTGTTCCCTAGGAACAGAAACACATTTATTTATTAAAAAAGCAAACAAAAACAAAACAAATAATGTTTAATAAAACAACAAAACTGTGAAACAATAAATGAAAGGCACTGCATAACGGAAATTTGTGCTTCATGAGTCTGAAGGGAAATATTCTTAGCAAAGAAAGACAAAAAAAAAGACCTTTATTCTTTTTGTTTGTCAGTGATATTCTGAGAATTTTTCTCTTGAAGTAAAATGATCCCCATCTATAGAAACTCTGAGCTGCAGCTGAATTACTTTTTAAAGCCTCATCATGTTTCACCAGACAATTACTTCTCTTTTCTCTTTCAAGTAATTTCCCTTTCTTTTGTGTGTTCGCTTTTTCTACTGTTGTGCCGTACTCACTGATGTCACAGTTAGGCCCCATCCAACCAGGAAGGCAGTCACACAGGTAACTACCGATCAGGTTATGACATGAGCGGGCGTGGACACATGTACCCATTTCACATTCATTGGCATCTAAAGGTGCAAAACAAAGAAGAAGAAAAAAACAGCATTAAAATAGTCCAAGCTGATTAAATTATATAATATACCAAAATGTTTACCATATTACAACCTCAAATCCGACATCAGGATAGGGTGTAGTTGCAAAATAATAATAAAACAAAAAATTAGGAAGAAAAAAAATGATAATTTTACAAATAGTATTTTATTGGTCTTTGTAGGATTGTATATAGGCCTAACTTGTTGCAGTCCCATTCAAGTATAATGGCGATATCTAACGTCAGATATTTGTCAGCTCTGCACTGCCATAACGCAAAAGATGTCTGCCTCCACAAATGGGAACAGACTCCTATCTAATTATAAATAGCAATTTCTAAGGCAAGGCAGACATAAAGATTGAGACTTTCAGTTCATAGGTAAAAATAAATACCAAAAATATAGATTATATATTACATTTTTATATATGACATTTATGTCAGTAAATCTCTGTGATTACTCTACACGGTACCTTTCATGAGGTAATATTAAATGAAGTTCAGAGATTGAAGTATTTTTCCAAACTCAGCTTTTGCTTTTTGCTTATTTTTATTTAACCTTTATTTTACCAAGAAGTCCCTTGAGATAAAATCTCTTTTTCGAGGGAGACCTGGCCAAGAGGCAGCAGTACAGTAAGACATTTAAAAAAACAGGACAACATAATAAAATCAATCATAAACTAGACTCTAATAATCCACACAGGGCAACTGATATATGACTCAAAGAGGAGAGGCAAAGTTTATAAAAGGAAAAACATTTTATTTATAATATATTGTATTTATGCATCAAATTTTGTTTTAGATTGATTAATTGAATGTTTTATGTTATTTTTTTAGCTATCACCCTGACTCTAAGATAACAGCATAATAAAACCTTTGAAATGTATTTATTTCTGTTGGTTTTTCATTGTGTTCCATTTTTATCAGTGGTCCCATTTAGCCACACATAGCCTCAACTAAGGCACAATAAAAGTAAAACTTTCGTTTGTCTAATTTTTTTCCTTTTACATTCATCTTCACTGTTAAAACTGTACCATTTGGAGGCAAACTACAGAATTTAGAAATGGGTTTAAATTATTTCACAACACTGTGTTTGTTTTAAATGGGATAGAAACACAAGTCACAACCCCAAATAACCTGAGTTAAATAATATTGTGAATTAATCTGATAGATTCTTTAAAGGAAATCTCAACAAAGAACAAAAAATTATCTTCCTTAGTTTTTCTGTTGTTGAAATAATGAAGTTCTTTATTTAAATCCCTTCTCTTTCAGCATCGCTGCTATTTATAAATACTTGGACAAATACTTTTAAAGTTGCCAGGGGGCCCTGAGGGTCCCTGGCACACAGCAGAGCGTAAAGAAAATGTTAGCTAAAGACAAATCAGCCATTTGCTACAAATGATTAGGATTCAGCTCTGTCAGTGAGTTTAAGTGCTTCTGTGTTAGAATAATGAGGAGCCTGTCAACAGAAAGCCAAGTAGGACAGAAATCCTCTGATGAGGCAGGGACGGAAAGTATAATTGGCTTTTTACGACTGATGCACTCCTGATGTTCTGCAGCTCAGGTTCATCCCTGAGTTTGATCAGTCTGCGTCACACTTTAGGCTGTGGGCACATGATCTGTGATGTGGAACTATGAGGGATTATGAAGTGTCAGGGTGACATATGACAGTAACACAGAGGAGCAGGGGAGCCTGTCATCCTGAAATATGTCTCAGTTTTCACTCTAAAGCCCCGAAGCCTACGTATGTTTACAGAAAGTGTTTGCTTTAGCTTTTTCTTTACAAAAACCCTTAAGTAGAGAGAAGCTGTAACATAGCTTCACTCTACTTCTGTAAATGAGTGAATGCAGCCTAAAAGAGGCATGATAGTGCATTTAGAGAAGACTAATCCACAGTCAGCTAGGGTTAATGTGAGGATTAAGATGCTGTTGGCTTCTTCTGCTACCTAATTTGTGTATCAAAATTACATTTTCCCTCAAACCAAAGATCATCACATATAACCACTTATGAAGAATGTGGATTATTGAAGTTTCTTTAGTTGATTTATGCCGCTCATGGTGATATTTGTTCATTAGTTGGATGATGGACATCTGAATTAAAGATCAATTTCTCAACTCGGCTCTTTTTAATAAAACCTATAGGGAAATCATTTTTTAAAAATCAAATTAAAAATAATTATTTTTAATTTATTGTTAAGGTTTTAGGGTCTTATTTGATGTTTGCGTCAATGGTTTCCTCAATACACAGTTAATATATTTCCTCAAAGTTTGCAGAACGAGCTGCGCTTCATGGTTCCCCTTTAGGCAAATTAAAAAGGGGATTTTTGGTTCCTTTATGAGGATAACGTTACATCAAACAATTGTGCTGAGAGAGGCGCATGTCTGATTTCTAAAGAATGGGGAATATGTTTATCTTTGAATAACAGCATGGGTGATTCTACACAGGTGCCCCACAGTCCTGGCCCCTGTTGTGGCCCATGTATTGAAAACATAAACTGAAAAAGGTGTATATGTAAATAATTTTTCCTTGAAATAGATGTGGATAAACTTGATCTAAGCAGGTAGGTAAAACACATTGCAGATGGAATAAGAAGATTTAGGTTTAAGAAAAGAACATGATTATTATCTTATTTTTAACTGCACAGTATCTAATTGTTTGTTTTAATGGCCAACATCCTCCTTGTCTTTGCAGATCCTAGTCGTCTTTGGCAGATCATCTTATTTACCTGCTCAAATTAAAGGCAGATACACAAATTTTAAGAAACTTTTACCTTTTTAGATCAGTTTTTGCAGTGTGATACTGCATTAGTTACTTATGATGAAATACACAGACTAAGAGAGCTGTCTGTCACTTAGACCAACTTAGTATTTCATCTTTACAATTTACTAGAGCAATTATGTAAAAAAATAGAGAAATTACAGGTTTGTGGCGCATTTCATAAATTTACTGAATAAACTTTGTTGTGATCTTTTTTTTCTTCTTTGCCCACTCTGGCCATCTGCTAAATCTAGTCTAAAACTACTGGAGCTCAAACTTAATGAAGAAAACTGTACAACAGGCAGAGTAAACATGTGCGAGTATTTGATCATTATATATTTTAATATCAGGAGGGTTGGCATCCTGTCAACAAAAGAAATAAAACTAACATGATCTTGTTTATGTACTACAGCTCTTGTTTCTACTTTGTTTTACAGGGAATTTAATTTTAGAAAGCTGATAAAGGCAATAAAATCCCATCATTCAGAGCCTGTATGCATCTACTGATACGTGAAGTGTGCGTCGAATTTACACAGACTGACCCAGCTGGCACGTCCTGCCAGTCCATCCCAATGGACAGAGACACCGGAAACCTCCAGGAGCCTCCTGACACGTCGCTCCACGGCCGCAGGGGTTGCGATCGCATTGCTTCACAGCTGGCATAAGAAAGAGGAACATTTTCTTTATAAGTTATTGGTCTGGGTAACAGGAATGTGAGCATGAATATTCAACAAGCATCTTGCGTGTTACTAAATTCGTGCAAAGCCACCGTCGCGCTGTGGTTGTGGCTGTTTTTATTCTCTCTGCTGCTCTGACTTCTGTGCAAACAGTGATAAACAGTCCTTTGCAGCATGTTCATGACTGACACTTCAAACCCTTCACCAAAGAGGGAGGGGACAATGAGCGGACTTAAATAATGCAAAGGAGGAGGCCTGTTTCCACTTATCTGATGAGGGATCAAAACAAAGTCTAAACAAGAAAAATAGAAAAAAAAAAAGCTAACTGTTTGGGGTTCAACCGAGCATAACTTATTTGTGCAGTAGTGGCATCCACATTTTTCCCATGCATATCTCTGTGGTATGGATCTGTCATTCATAGCTTTCTGTGTCTCTCATAACCTTTTTTTCCATTTACCTAACCCTGCATAACATCCATTTTCCATCGTCCTGACCCCTACTTCAACCCAAGCCCTAGTAATCCTACCAAACTAGCAGCAAACCAGTCAGAGAATTCATAAAAAAATATTAAATCCTTTAATTAATACTGTTTATAAACTGAAAACGGAGCTGTGTTGTGGTTATGGTTTTAATTCCCTGCAAGCTTGACAATCTTCTTGTTGTATATTCTCTAGAGAGCCCATCCCACCCATACCCCCAGAACAATAACAGCTCAAGAGATAGACAGCCTCCCTGACTGTTAATCATGCGAACATCACACACCAACAACAAAAAAACTATTTTCCTGTTTGTTCTTTATTTTCTCTCTGAAAACTCCTTCTCATTTCGGCGTTGATACGCCACAGCCTGACCTGCAGCCCCGTTTATCCTGATGGGGGTGAAAGCAGAGGATTTGGAATGCTGTTTATTTACACACACAGCTCTGATAGACCGTAAACTGTGTGATCATATCTCACCTGCAGCATGAGATCTCACCTACTGTATGGACGTGTCGGGTCACATGATGGAGCTCAAAGCTGATCCAAAAACATGCTTGAGCTTCATCCAAACAAGACACACTGATAAAAAATGGCATTAAGCCTTTTTTTTATGTTTTGTGTGAGAATCATTTTGGTTGGTTTTTTTTTGTGTTTTTTTTTTTTTTTTTTTTAAATACAGTAGTTAATAAGTGAGAGCACTACAATCCTACTTTGTGATTAAAAGTGAATGATTCTAATGAGTGTGAAACGTGTTGTAGAAAAAAAGAAGGATGAAGTTCAAGCTCAACATTGGCTCACTAGATTTGTGTTTGCTAGCTTGACCAAAATCCTAATGTGGTAACAAACATCCAGTCCAGTGGAAGTATGTTTAGTTTATTGAATATTCTCTGTGATGGAAAATGTGAACATCTTTAAACACTAAGTTCCAGAAATGCTGTAAGGGAGAAAACTATCTGGTTTTTCATCACATTATCAGGAGGCTCTTTATGAGGACATTTGCATTCACTGATACGTTCTTATTTTGCATAATGCAGAAAATATGGTGAAGTCACAGACTTTGGTTCTGGTGAAATGCATGTTATATTTAAAGAGCAGGCAAAAAAAAAACTTTTCTTCAAATATCCAGCCTATCTGTGCAGTTAAGAGCGGTGTCCATCTCCTCAGTTTATAACCCTGAAAAGGGAATGTATGTGCTGAGTCCAGCCTTAAGGTGTTTTTTTGTTGTTATAGGGGAAGCAAGGAGGGCTTCGATTGTTTCAGCTGCTTGGTGAATCCTTTTATTCGCAGTGAGATTAGTGGCAGCATGCCACGCACTCAGCAGCTGTGGTGCCAAACGTATTTCAATAATTTACTTGCAGTGCTGCCAGCCAAAAGTAGGTTAGCTTGACAGGCCTCCAGGCCTCCTTTGAATTACCTGGTAAACAAGACATGTGATGCGGTTCTGTGTGCAAACACATCATCTAAAAACTCTCTATGTTAGTAGACTGTGTAACATTTTCATGATGAACCTCAAAAGACCTCTTTAAGACTGTGCAAAAGACATTTACATCCTGGATCATTATTCATGCTGTACTGTTTTATTAGAGTCAAAGAGGAATTATAAACGAGCTTAATATAGAACCTTGAAACAAAAGGCACCTCTATGAGCCTGGTTTGTTTCTGTTTTTAACATCTGTATAGAGGTATTTCATTGCTGCTATGAGTCCCATCTCTCATGATAAGCAGGCATTCATATGCTTCAAATAAGGTTGTCTGGTAAAGAAATGTCTAGTGAAAAAACTTGAGGCAACAGTGCAGAAGAGTGATGAAGACGAATGCCAACAACAACATGTCATTCCTCCTCTAAACACAACAGTGTATTTGTGAATTGTTGTTATGCTTAGCAGTGGTCTCCGGTTGCTCTCAGAGCACACAAACTTTGATGAAATGATATTCACTTGGCAGACGCTTTGGTTCCTTTTCTGTTTTTCTCACGGACAAATAGAAAAACACAACCGGATGCTTCAGGATAAATAAAGCATACTGTAAAACCTCATTAACCACATGAATAAAGTCGGCTCAGGTGCATTTATCATTTGGTTGGTTGGGATTTTTTTCTGCAAAATATAAAAAATGTATATATTTCCGGGATTTCAGCTCTATAGTGTGACTTAGAGTTTTGGGGGTTTTTTGCAGCCAGGTCGTGCAGTTTATGGGAACAATTTTAAAACTAATCTTTCTTTTCTAAAAAAAATTATATAGAATTTAGGCTGGGATATATGGGATTGCTTTGTGAAATATACTTCACTACATCAGCCTGGTGGTGGAAGGAAGAAATCACACCTTGGAGCTCCCTGTGATATGAAAGGATTACACTTTAAAGCCTCACTTTGATGCCAATAAAATCTTGTAAAACTCACAGTGTCAACTCTGTTTTTCAATTCAACAGAAATATAGGCCAAACGTATCCTTGCACATAAACACACTGCCAGACATGGGCAGAGCCGATCACTGATTGCTGCTGATGCCTCTCCTGTTTAGGCTAATTTAACTTCCTCTGTTGAATTGATTGGACTCACTTAGTGGCTTTGATCCAATTATAACCAATCTCAGACAACCTTAAAGCCCCCCCCTTCCCTTGCTTCTTCCAGCCTTCCCATGTGTGCAGAATCGACAATCACCATCTGCACAGGTGTTCCCGGTCCAGCCTTCTGCACAGATGCAGCTGAAACTGTTCGGGTCTTCAACACAGGTGGCGCCATTCATACATGGAGATGACAGACATGCATGTTCCACTGAGGGGAGGAGAGACACAGAGAGAGTTTTTATTATACTGTTTATCAATTTATAGGGAGTTGTCTATTTACTTTTGAAAGCTAGAAGCCACAGTTTTAAAAGCAACACAAATAAGTAGGAATTAGTCATTAAATAGATAATTTTTAAAGCAGATAAATCACTGGAAACACACATTTCTAAGCCACAGCCCCAAAAAATCCCCACTACAATGCTGTGTTTACATTGGTTTTGCAAGTGTCTATAACTATAGAAGGAAAACACATAGTTTTCTTCATAAAAACAATGTAGAATAAATTCTTTCTTTTATTGTTATATTTCAACCATGGGAATGTTACCACATGTCTGTAAAGCATGTTTTGGATTGAATGAGCTTTAAAATTGCTGCACACTTAAAAATAGAGTACAGTTGTTTGTCAAAAGAAGCAACAGAAAAGGGTTGTATACGAACAATGATACTCTTGTGTATCCAAAGATAAGAGATGAAGTAACAAAACAGATCTTACCTTGTTTAGATTTGCTACCTTTAAAAGAGTCAACAGCTAAAAACCTGGGTTAATTGTGGGTGGTGTTTGCAAGCTTAGTTACTTAAGTAAAAAAAAGTATTTTGATATAGTCTCTTACAATCTGTGTATTGATATGTAAAGAATCAATACATAATCTGAAGGTTGCATTTCTAAATTAATCAGTAATTGCTTATTAACTGTACAACTCCTCGCTTGGGTGAAGGAGGAGATGATAGGAAGACGGACAAGGGTCAGCACCCCCCTCCTTCATCTTGTGCAAAACAATACCCATTGTCACTCATGTGCAATATTCTTCTCTAACTATGCAATGACACATGCCAACTACTGTGTAGGCTGTGTAAGATTTTACTTATTTATAAGGTCAGTACATCTCTGCAGTGCAAGTGCAATAATCCAAGTCAACTACTGTGTAGTACAGGGGTCACCAACGCGGTGCCTGTGGGCACCAAGGGGCCCTCAAGGGCCACATGGAGTGCCCTCTTCGTCTTCTGAAAACAGAAGAACTCACTCAGTGGGTTAAGTTTAATTTTTTTTTATTCTGTTGCTCTTCTTTTTAATAATTTATGTATTATTTCATCATGTTAACTATTTCATCATATTTCAGTGGTTTCAAAATGACAATATTAAAAAGAAAATTAGAAATAAATACAAGAATAAAATAAGAATAAAAATGAGTTCATTGGTCAGTATTGGTAGCCCTTTCTATGACTTGGTAGCCATGAAGTAGCCCTCAGCCTTAAAAAGGTTGGTGACCCCTGGTGTATTCTTTCCTTTGCTCTCTACTGTGCAGATATTTTTATATCTAAAGGAAACGTATTACAGGACATTACAACTTTTCTTATGTTTTTTTGTATTTTATACACAATTTTTATATTGTCTGTTGTACTTTTATCTTTAATGGCATCTTGCTTTAACTCTGCCCTTTGTCCTCTAAATAAGCTACTGGAAACAGAATTTCTCTGAAGGAGTAATCCCAAGGGATAAATAAAGTTGAGTCTGAGTCTAAGCCTAAGTCTACTTTAAATGTTCCTCATCCATGTTAACCTGAGATGTTTAACTACAATAAATACTTTCTTTTTTAATCAGTGTTTTAGCCAAGTGGACAATAGATTGTAAGTGAATCCATAGACTTCCCTTTCATCTACCACATGTGTAGCAAATGAACATTTTGGTGAGAATAAACCGCTGCAGGACTTCTGGAGCCTGAATGTTACATATGGTCTCTATAAATGTTTTGAAAGCTACATTAATTGTAGCGCAGTTTAACATTCATCAGCAATGTGACCTTTGTGGTGAACACTGGTGCCTGTGTTTAGTCTTCCATATTTAACATTTCCATTCTGCCAACTTTTTGGCCTCTTGGCAGCTTTAATGCTTTATTTTTCATATTTCATGAATTTGACCTTAAAAATCAATATAAGTATAGTGATACAAGCTGTAAAAATCAAAGAGAAGAAGAAGAAAAAAAAAACTGATATGTGCAATTCAATGTGAATATTGAGCTGTGTTCTCCTTTATTCATGCTCTGTTTTCTGTGTATGTCCTCTGCTTCTGAAATTTTTTATAGTAAACAATGCGTAGCAGCTCTCACCAATGTCACAGTTGCGCCCTTTGAAACCCTCCTGGCAATCACACTTATACTCGTTTGGCTCTGTGTTGGTGCAGGTCCCACCGTTTTTGCAGGGCTGGTGTGTGCCACAGTAGTTCAGATCTGAAAACACGAACACATGTTTTTACAAAAGCGCATAATTTTACAGCACAAATAGAAAAAAAGCTCTTAAACTGAATTCATGGAGGTGCTAAGATAAAGACCTTTTTCATTTCATTCTTTTTTAAGCTTCAGGGCTTTTTGTTTCCCATCTTAAGGAAGAATAAAGTAACATCTTCCCTCATTATTTTCTTTGTTTTAAAGGTTTCTCTGTTTCACTGTAATTTTTTAAGGTGTTCATCTGAATTAACCACACCTAGCAAAGAACATCAAGCTTTGAGTCTCTCACAATCTTTTTACCCAAGGCTATCGCCTTTCCTCTCCACAATACTTTGTCCCCTAGGCGCACGTTTGACTCCCAGCTCCCACTTTGGGACAGAGGATCTAAGTTTTCTATATTCTGCCCGGGAAATTTTAGAGGAAGGAGGGTGAAGCCCTCAGGTACTTTTTTTTATCTTCTTCATCCATAAGTCATGTGTGAAGAACCATGCCTGACAAACTAAGAGCACACCGTTTTTTTCCCCCTCCCAGACAGGCAAGATTATTCATGGTCAACATTCAAAGCTCTGTAAAGCTTTATACCTTTTATAGGATTTATGTTTATTTCAGGCCTGAAGAACCATATTTGTGTGAACTACAGAATCTATAATAAACAAAAAAGGTGTCCAGCTTATCAAAAAGATCTTAAAGAAGAGTAAAAGTTATAGGAAGTAATAAAGAAATATTCATTAGGTGGCAAAGTCCTACACCATTTAGCAAAACAAAAAGAAATCAGAAGTGCAGTAAGAATAATTACATCTGAAACTGGTGAAAAACAAGCATTTCAAGAAAGGATAAGCTAGAATGCACAGAGGTAAAAACTAGAACCAGTAAAAGACTATTGACATGCAGGTGGCGCAGTGGTTAAGAAAGAGTATTATAGAATACATAGTTTATAAACAGCTATGATTTGAAAAGCACTCTATTTTTTCATAATTTGGTCGAAAGTCTTTTCAATAACATTACAGACTGGTATTTTCTCACGTTGTGTGAGGCAGAGGAAAATCTGGACTTCCCCTATTGGTTGCTGCGCACAGCTGGGCTGATCTCTAAAAGAGAAGACAGCCACTACTTATAAACTACGTGAAAAAGTACATTAATATGTGCCATAATGTTTGAATATTTTCACGACACCAGAAACAAATTTAGGTTTTCTTTTTAAAAAGGCTAAGGCATTAGCTGTGGAGCAAAAATGCTGACAGGTAGTTGGGATGAGCACAGTGGAGGTTTAATAATAAAAGAGAAAACCTACAGATGTGAAACAAGGTGAGCATGACATGGTGTAGAGATGTGTGCAATAAGCGCTTAAAAAAACTCAGAACCTAAAAGCAGAGGCAGAGTTGGAAAATGAAGAAGGAACCAGAAAAGCAATCAGAGCACATGTGGTGCAGCTGGCAGCAGTAAAATAGAGAAGCTGACAGAGGGAAGGCGAAAACAAAAAAACACAAAGGGAGCTGAACAAATAGGGAAAGACAGTGTTAATCAAGGGTAAAAGACTAACAACAGAGAAAGAAAAAAAATCCATTTGGTCACAGAACAGAATTAAAAAATAAACTAAGACTCTTTACCAAAAAAAAGCACCATTTAGAAAAAGATTATTAGAATCCAAAGTTTACAACCAAATACATTTATCATTAGTAATGTCGTTTTGTTAAAGGGACCGATTTACATACTTTGACTTACACAGTATCTAATGAGTATGATATTCGCCATTTAAAATTAGTAATAAGCTGCTAGCAGATGGTGTACAACAATATTCATGTATACTGATTGTGCCCAGGGCAAAAATTATTTTCATGCTTAAAGGGACTAAATAAACACTATCAGGATGAACAAGTATATTTACATTTTTTTTTTTACATGAATTAGCATATTACTAGAGCTAAGAACCTCATACCAACCAAACCCCATTAGAAACAATGATAAAGATAAGACATCACAGAACAAACTATGTGGAGGAACTTAAAGCCTTCAACCAGATTTCTTCTTATGCAGCTTCATCAAGTATATTGCAAAAATTAATTCATATGTTGGATTGCATAGCTTTACTGGAGCTTAATATTACTATACACTCTACTCCAGAATCTCTATTCAGTTGTAACCAATAATGTTAACTTTAAGAAATTAATAAAAGAGAAATTTTTTTTATCAAAAATTAGTATCTCAAATAAAAAAATTTATCACATGGTGGGTTGGTCTGTACAGAGGATTGAATGGATTAAATACATAATGTAAGGTTAATGTGAATATCAAACGAGATTACGCTCTTGTCAGGTTGAGTGGAGGTTCCAGAGATGGAAGCTCAGGTGGTTTCTTGCAGGTTTAATAATCCAAAAGGTGGCAACAGAAGCAAAAATCCAAATTAACAAAATACAGAAACCTGAAATCCAGGAGATTTCAGGGGAAAAAAACACAAGGGGCAAAGAATCGAACAGGAGGTGTATAAATGGGAGACAGAAACAATAGGAGGACTAATTGGCAGACGAGGAACAGGTGTGGGAAGAAAAATCTAGAAGGGAGCTGAGAGAAGGAGACTGACACAAGAGGGCAACAGAGGGTTAACAAGAAATACATAAGAACTAAAATATAACCAAAAAGAACTAGAATAAAACTAAATGGAAATAACACCAATGAAAACTCAAAAAGAAAACTTAAACAGAACCAAAACCATGACAGCTCTAACTAGATAAACAAAGTAACTTTTACTTTTGGTGGTCATTGAACATGGCTGGCTGCTGTTTGTAACTAACTTTGACTTTTATTTAACATTTCTGTATATTATAAGTGCAGTGATGTATTGGTGCGTCTTTTTATTGCAGAAAGAAGGACCATGCATCTATTTAAACAAAACTATGCAGGGTATGGTTTAAAAATGTTCTCAGCACCTATAGATACTTCAAGCTTTGTTTACGCAAACAAAACTGCTTAAATATTTTGTATGTCCCACCTTTGTCACACAGAAGGCCTCCCCAGTTGACGTCACACACACATTGCCAGGGCTCGGTGCAGCTCCCGTACACACAGCCTGGAAACGTCACACACTGATCACACAGAGGACCTTTCCAGCCGTAATGACACCTGAAACATAAACAGATTGCATGATTTATCAGATATATTACCCTGACATAATGTGTTATTGAAGATAACATGTACCACATACAATATTTAAACCAATTCAAATATCTTTGCACTTTGCTTCTAAGCAACCAGATTTAAACGTTGGCTTTTAAAATGGATTTGATTTACAGTTTTCTTGGCTTATGAATGTTTCTCAGAGTTTTTTATACACCCAGATTTTTTTTTTTCTGTCAGATTTTCATTGTAGTTTATTTTACGTAACATGTTGAGGAGTGCTGCTCAGTGGCGACCCAGGGTCTTTCTGCATGGAGTTTGCATGTTCTAACTGAACATGGGTGGGTTCTCTCCGGGTACTCCGGCCTCCTCCCACAGTCCAAAAACATGACTGTTAGGTTAATTGGCTTCTCTAAAGTCCCCTTAGGTGTGAGTGTGTGTGTGAATGGTAGTTTGTCCTGTTTGTCTCTGTGTTGCCCTGCGATGGAATAGCGACCTGTCCAGGGTGTACTCCGCCTGTCGCCCTCGTGACCCCACTTGGGATAAGTGTGTAAGAAAATGGATGGATTGACGTTGAGGAGTGTTTATAAAGACGAGGAAAAGCAGGAAATGTTCAATAAGACATCTTGCGAAAGTCTGGAGATCAAAATCACTCTAAAATATACGAGAAACTCTGACTGCCAGGTAGAGCTGGATAGAGTAGCCAGGTACAGTACTTGATGTGAGGTCATCACTACTAAAACATTTAAGTAGACGATATAGCTGAGTAAAAATAAAGCTAGATCCACTTTTTTTCCCCCGAAGAGTTTCTCATGGAAATTTAACTAGTTGCTACTTATGTCTGCTGATAGGCAATAATCTATTAATAAATTAGGGGAGATTTATTTTATTTATTCCAGCAGTTTTAGAGGAGCTTGAGTATCAGAGTGAAAATACAAACCAATGTTTTTAGGGGATTCAGTAACTTACTTGCATTCTCCAGGCACAGTACAAAAACCGTGGTTCTGATGGCATCCCTGCCTGCACACCGCTGTGAAGCAAGCACACACAAAAAAATTATTCACTTAAAAAAACTTTAAAGATTACTTTTTAGCAACGAAATATGTTCACATATGGAACTTATTTATTGCCCCTTTAATGAAAGGGGTCATTAAAGACAAACATTCAGAGTTAGTAGTGAGCTAGCTTAGAAATGCCCACATAGTGATTTGTTTCTGAAGACTAAAAAAATCCCTTCATAGACACGATGGGTAACATGCAGGAGGTAACGGAGGGGAATGAATCTTTCAACTTCCTGCTTCTGTGTGGTCCAATCAGCACCATGCTGAGGAGGAAGGCAGACTGAGTGAGACGGGCGAGGTGGGCAGAGCTGCAGGATGTCCTCAGACTAGCAGAGTGTCCTTCCCTAGTTTCCACTTTGGTTTCCTCCATTCACTCTTACTAATGCAAAAAGTTGACAACGTCAAGAGGTCACAGAGACGGGTCATCCATCTGATGAGTCATGGTGTACAACATCCCACATCATTGTAATTCACTGATGTAGAGAAGAGTGTGATACTTCAATGACATCAGCAGGAGCAGTCATTCATGGGGCTGGAGCTCCCTTTGTCGCAAGACTATAGGACTTTAAACTAAGATTGAGGGTTTTTTGAATAAAATTAGACTTGATTCCACTCTGCACAAGCCAGATATTAAAAAGATAAATATTATTTTTATTGTGTTTAATCAGAGTCCAAAGGCTTTCCTCATGGAAATGAAATAGTGAAGCATTACTATTCTCACAGAAGACCTTTTTTTTTAAAGATTACTAAAAAGGAACCATAATTCATGAATGACAGGGGAAAAGAAAATGTTAATACATTTAAACCAAAACCAAACTTCTGCTTTACCCTCTTTGCACTCTGGTCCTGTCCAGCCTTCCATGCAGACCTTGGTGCCACTGGGGTCACAGCTGAAGTGGCCAAAGAAGTCATCTCTGGCTCGGCAGAACTTGTTGCAGAAAGGCCCGTAGTAATTAGAGTCACAGCGGAAGCGAAGCCAATACTCCAGGCTAAGGATCTGTCCATGATGACGGTATGTCTGCCACTGTTCACCAGGATTCAGCATGGAGGAGAGGAGGACTCGCTCAATCAGCTGACCTGAAGGAGGACGGAACAGAAGAAAATCTCACTCATCCAAACATCTTTATTCTGAGGCACCAGTGTCATGATCTATAGTTTAGACTTTATGATATAGAACCAAAGATAGAGCTAGTGAATTTCTCCACTGTGAGATCAGTAAAGTCTCTCTTTTCTATGAAGAAAAAGTGGGGAGATGTTTGGGAGAGTCAAAGAGACACTCTCAAGGCTAACACAGCTAAACCAGCTGTTAAGTATCGTGGGGGAAGAAATGATAAGATCTATTTTGCTGCTGTGCTACTCTGGCATCTTACAGTTGGGGAAATAAAGAAAAGGAAGGCCTAAATTCACATGCATTAATCTGTGCTCAAATCAGCTGCGACTCTGCTGAAAGCTGGACTCAGTTCGTTGGTCCAACATTACAACTAGCCCAAGTACAGACTAAAACCAGGGATCTTCAACCCAAGCCCTACAACGTATTTATAAACTATGCTGAAAAGCTTGGTCTGCATCAGTACATCAACCATTAAAAACAAACTCTACAATTTCTCCCAATAAGAGTCATCAAGTGTCCTATTAGAAACTGGTTGGTGGTTGCAAAAGGTACACTGTCAATTAACCAAAAATGATTTGGTGCATTTAAATATTTGTTAAAGTGGGGTAAAATGTTTCATCTACGAGGGTTAAAGAAAATTTACATTAAATTAAAACTTATGTGCCAAATTTTTTCTATAAAACCATTAAAGTTGCATGCCATATCATCATAAGCCTGCTCTGAACTCTAATTCTATTTAATGTCCTTCCAAAAAACCAGGTGTTGGTCGAAGAATCTTGGTGATTTCTAAGGCTCTTTGAAAGTTTTATCCTGACTTTAATTGTTTTTTCTTTAATCAGTAAACATAACAAGGCTTACGAACCCAAAGGAAACAATGCATGATATTGTATTAGCAAGTAAACAACTATAAAGGGGAACTTTTGATTCAATAATATTTTAATCACCACTTTATAGAAATAAATTGTTGTTATCAGTATTGTAGGGTTATTTTCAGCAGGTTCTCTATGTTGCTAGCAGTCAACATAAACACTGTCTTGCAGCAGATCTGGTAAAGCTTTTGATTGTCAGTCTTCTGAAGAGGATGTTTGTGGTTGTCCACACTGTTCTTCATTTCATAAAGATTTCATCATTGTGAAATTCTTTTTTATTAGCTTGTCGAGTTTCTTGAAACCAACCAGATGATGGCAGAAGTGGACACACTCTCCACAACAGACTGAGAGAAGATATGCAGCGTCTTGATGCAAACACTGCAGGACTTACATTTCCTTAAGAAGCACAGTTTGTTCTGTCCTTTCTTAATAGCAGACTTAAAGTTAAGCTCCAAGTGAGTTTGTTGTCCAGGTAAAAAACAAACTATTTATACCCTTCCACCACCTCCACTTCTTCTCCCATGATGGTAACAGGATTCAACTGGTCCTTGTTTCCTCTGAAATCTACCATCTTGTTTTATTGATATTCAGGATCAGATGATTGTTTCCACACTATGCCACAAATTGATTCACCTGGTCCCTGTACTCAGCTTCTTATCCACCTTTGATGCACCCAACAACTAAAGAGTTATCTAAGTATTTCTGCAGATGACATGACTCTCTCCGGTAATGAAAGTCAGAGGTGTATAGAGTAAAAGAAAAGGTGAGATTCCCGTCCTCTGTGGTTCTCCTATACTGCTGACAACCTGGTTAGACATTTGAGCATTCAGCCTCACAAACTGTCATCTTTTTGTCAGGTAGTTTTTTATCCAGGTGATCACTGTAGATTGAAGTCTGTCTCTACTCATGCCCCTGCAGCTTTAGCTGTTAAGTAAACTTTTGATAATACAAATATGTTTCCTCTAATGGTAATAACTCTCAGCGGTGTGTAGATATTATAAGTAGAATAGAAAAAAATTAAACTTTCATGAACTTGCATGAATTCCACTTGACACAGAGAAGAAGAGAGGAGAGAACAACAGAAAGGGCTGTACGAGCCCCCGGGCAACACTGGAGCAAAAGCCGCCACTTCTGACCCCTGGAGGGGCTTTCCCAGTGGCACTATTATTCCCTCACTCAGTTATAATGCTCCCTGACAGGGTGTTAACATTCAACAAAAGTGGGAATATGTGCTTCAGTGTATCCTATATGTGTCTATATAAGAGATAATGAGAAAAATTGGATGGCTGGGTGATAGTTGCACAGAATAGGAAGACCTACTGAAGGGAAGTTAGAGTAGAGTGTGAGTTTTTGTACTTAACTCAGACAGCCAGAGGCAAAAAGATCCAGAGACTCAGCAGCTGTTAGCACACACATAAACTGCCTGATGGAGAGATGAAATCACTGAGGCAATGAAAAAAAAACATTCAGGCGGGCTTCACTGTGAGTGTGAACTGAATTCTCCAGTGCCTGCAGTCAAATAAGAGAGTCCAATACTCCACGCGTCAATCAGGTTCAGTGCACCTCTGATTTTACCACGTTTTATAATATCGGAAATGTCAAAGGGTTAATTTTATCATTATTACTTCTCCACTAGATAAGATGAAAAAAATTATATAATTAGGACCCGACACAGTGGGAAGATGGTGTAAAACACAGTATGATTTTCTTTGTATTGTAATTAGATCAGACTGCTTAATAACAAACAAGCTCCTTCAGGTAGGGATGTTAAAACAGCAGGTAGAAGAAGCGATAATCCTCTGTGGCAATCAAACTTTACAGATATATGATAACGTGTGTGTCTGCAGGTAGTAAAAACTCTTAAACTACTCCTCCTGCTCTTAGCCTTTTGCCCTTGGAAGTGTCTGAGATATACCCGCAGGAAAGAAAACACCCGCGTTTACTCTTTATTCCAGATCACCTGTGAACAAATCAATACACCTGAGGATGCAGATGGATCAGACGATATTGTTTTGTCCCACTCTATTCGATGTAGGCAATTCATGTGAGAGCTTTCTTTTCAGTTTAGCCTATCTCATTAATATTATTCTCACGTGAGCAAAGGCAGTCACACTAAACCTGTTTTCTGAATGCTATAGACAAGCTGATCTAAATTAGAAAACTTCCAATATTGGATTTAAGTTTCTTTTCACAGCTTTGTGCCAGCAAGCTCTGCATCAATAGTGTTCAAATCTATTTGAATGCAGCAGAAAGTCTGCAGGCAAACAAGTACAGTAAAGTAAATTCAGTCAATCTTAACGCAAGACAGGAGGTAGTTTAGAGGAGCAGTCTGTACATCCATACAGTACAGTACCAACATTATCTTGAACTTGAACTGATATTGACAAAATTTTCCAATTTCATCAAATAAACCAAAAAAAAACTTAGAAGAAATCCTAGGCCAAATAAATCATTTCTCCTGCTGTCTCAATGCTTTACCCACTGCCTTCCTTAAGAAAGCTCTGCCTGTCATGACATCTGATTTAACTCAAATAATAAAAACGCCTTTTTTGTCAGGTGCTTTTCCCCAGACCCTAAAAAAATGATCTATCAAGTTGCTGTTGAAAAACAGCGACTTTGAGAAGCTGCTGCTGCAGAACTAGAGGCCAATGTCAAACCTCATTTTAAAAGGTAAGGTTGTTAGAAAAAAAGCTGCATTTCAACAATGAGATGCCACTTTGATGTCTCCCAGTCAGGCTTCCATACTCACCACAGTACAGAGACTGAACTTTCCGTATATATCCAGTGAGGAAGAATCAAAGTGCTGTTATTATAGAAACTTTAGTTTAGCTTTAGTTCTCAACTGTTTAAATACGACTTGAAGGAGAGAGACTGTTTTTTGTGACAGTTGGTAACTTTACATCAGAGACCACAACAATCACATGTGGTGTTGCCAGAGGATCTTATTCAATATCTCCTAACTTAGATCCTAATAAACAACAGCTGAAATGACCATAATTAAGTGGACATCACACAGCTGTACATTATGATGTCTTCAGATGACTATGAATCAACTTAAGTGCTGGTTAAATGAACAGAAGAAATCAGCAGATGGCTGCTTTCCACTTTACCACAGTTTAGATTAGGGCTGAATGATGTTGCCAAAAATCAAAATTGTGATTATTTTTCACCAATATTGCTAATATGATTTTATTTTAATGTCCCTTTGCACTTACCCCAAGCTTGTAGGCTTACACTTATACACAACTACAGGTAAACTAACAGTAAAAAAGTTTTAAAATACCTGGAAATGATAAAAAAAAAAGGCTGAACAAGAAACCATGTTTACCAATGTTTTTCAATACAACTAACTATATGGCTCCAGCAGGCTTTATCGGGATCCAAGTCTCCATTCAAATTGACCAGGGCTGAAACAATTAATATGATTAATCATGATTAATCGATTATTCAAATAATTGTCAACTAATTTAGTAATCGACTAATCTTTAACTGAAGAATAGAGAGTCTAAAACATGCCTTTAGCTGACAGAGCAACTGACTAATTATACCAAAATTGTAAAAAGAAAATGCAAACATTTGGCACTTAAGATAAAAATCTTTTTCATCTGTCAACATGCCCTATCCATCAATCCATCCATCCATGTTGAGTCAGACTTATCGCTGCTGGGGTCGGGAGGTTTGCCGGTGTCTATCTCCAGCTCTCAATAAGCGAGATGCAGGGTACACCTTGGTAAAGTCGCCAGTCTATCGCTGGGCAACACAGAGACAAAGAGGACAAACAACCATTCACGTACCTAAGGAGAATTTAGAGAAACCAATTAACAGTCATATTTTTGGAGGTGGGAGGAAGCTGGGGTACCCGGAGAAAACCCACACATGCAAAGGGAGAACATGCAAATTCTGCAAGAACACCCCGGGCCAGGAATCAAACCTGGAACCCTCCTGCTGCAGCAGTGCTACCCACTTTTCCATTGGAAAAGTTTTAGCTCCACCTGGTTTAATTTCGCAAAAAATCTTCTTCCAGAACCTTTGGCTATTCGATTATTAATCAGGTAATCTAACAATTAATCGATAGACTAATCTATTTGCTAAATAATCATTAGCGGCAGCCCTAACATGGACCATAACTAAATGCATGTTAAAAATGTGACCAAATTTAATTCATGTTAAAATACAAATATGCCTCCAAGGAAAATCTTGACAAGTTAAATAAAGAAAGTAAAGTTTTTCATAAAAAAAAAATTAAGGTTGAAACAGTATAAGATTAGGCCTTCTTTAAGCCCTCTGCCTCAACCTTTACTTTGATAAGATATTTATTTTAAGAAATACAGTTAGTCACATGATTTGGTAAAGTGGGACCTAATCATAACACCAATGGCCACCACATAATACTGATGAGAACTATTTTTGCTGTTTTGCAGCATAGCTATGGCATTTAATTATTGACTAATAGTTATTCTATAAGTAATAACACAGCTATTAGTAAAGGTTGAAACTTCCTTCAAATGTCTACTATGACCTTCCCTGCTAGTTTTATACTAAAGCCTCCATTTATTCGAAGAAACCTCAGAGAAGGTCAGACAGTCAGAGTTAAGAGAGCATCATATTGTCTCACAGCTTTTAAAGTGCATTTTAGAAGCTTCAGTCCCATTCTGTAATCCTCCCTGATTGGAAGTAGGGCCTGATAACTCCATTCAGACTGCTCCGGCATGTCTCCATTTGGGCTGAGCTAAGCTGCTGGCCTACTCTACAGCTTAAGAAACAATGTAAGGGGTAGCCAGGAGCTCAGGTGGAAATGGAAGATAATGCAAACAGATGTAGGTTCAGAGCTAGAGGGCTGGGAGAAGGACAGATGTAGGAGAGCTGGTAAGACAAAGAACAACTCGGGCAAAGTTCCAGTTTTTCATCATCTCCTTCTCAGGACTGCAGTCGCTCCTCTCCCAGTTAAGGAAGATGAAAATAAGGATGGGGCATGAAAGGAATGGGGAAGGCACAGGAATATGTCTGCTCATCTCTGTGTTCTTCTTTTTATAGCAGGCAACTCACAGTTACTGCCGAAAAGCTTTTCCACATTATGAGGAGACTTTGAAAGAAGGAGACGAGCAGGAAATTAAAAGGCGGGGGTAGGGTTGTGTGATCACACACATTTAGACACAAAGGATGTTTTCACATTGTTTCATCATGTCAAACTGCACAGCCTCGTAAACAAGGGCTGGTGTTGTTTGCTCTGTGAAAACTAAACTTAGGAACAACAGTTATCTTAGCATGAAAAGAGAGAAAGTGAGATTATAATGCTGGTTATGTAAGAGATGAGACAATGCAAAATCCCTACAGGTGCAGAGCTAAAAACATAAAATCTATACTTGGTTGCTAATGAATTTCAGGACTGAGGGACATGAAACAGTTCATAAATACTTCAAATTCAGGTTCAAACTGAGCTGCTTTCTTCAAGCAGATGCGGGTATATACCATACTGCAGGGCCAGGGTCCCCCATGTTTTACAATTGGGGCTGTATTAACAAACCTTACAGTAAGTCAATCCTATTAAGAATTTAATTTATTAGTTTAATTGAAGTCATATTATATTTACTTACCTTAGGTTTAGATTTCTATTCAGTGTTGTTAAAATTATGCTCAGCCCTCAGGGTAGATGGTAAAACAAAAGTATTAAATTAGATATTAAGTCCACAGACCTTAGGTTTAGGTTCCCTTTTTTTTTTTAACAGAAAAACGATATTCACAATTTTTGGCAAAAATATATACGATCAAGTTAAAAACAAAAAAATCTTGAAAGTACATTATAGAATAGAACTTTTAATAACTTTAATGTTTAAAATGTTTAGTGGAAAGCATTTAAATGTCAACTAATTTCCAGTGTATACTTCTGGTATGTGGTATATTGATGTGCCCTAGTAATGTGCCTCTTTTATCATCTACTGGTAAGACTTCAACATGGCCTTCATGATGACACAGTTTTTAAAAAATGATGCCAAGTTAAAAGCCTGATATTAAGCACCCAAAAAATTTACCATTAAGCAAAAGTCCTTTCAATAAAGCACATGGTTTAATCACAAACAATGTTCTAAAGTTAAATGTATTTGGCATCAAATTACATAAATATTGCCTACAGGTCCTTTGCAACAAGTACGTTTCTCACAGTGACTACGAATTACTGGCTTGTCTTAATGCGCTCCATATTTTTTTCAAATAGCACATACAGACCATCACAAACAAGTTCAGCTTTACCTGGTTCTGTGGTGTCGTTGTCGTGGTCCAGAGCCTCCAACACCAGAGAAAACGATTTCTGGGGGGGAAAAAAAGATAAATAGAAATAAAAAATAAAGAAAAACACATCTAGCAGTTGGATTTTCATTTCCTATTTTTGCAGTTTTATTGTTTTTACATTGGATTTACATTAAAATATTGGGTCTGAATAAAAAGAAAACAAATATTAGGCTCCTTTTAAACTGCAGGGTTTTTTTTTCTGTGCAGTCATTTGCAATATACTATACATGAAACCACCATGGTAGTCCAATCTGAGTGGTGTGGACCTGAAGTGAAGTTAGATGCAGCAATACAGGAGTAAACATGGATGCTGTTTGTGTGTGTGTCAGCAAAGGAATTTGATCCAACTCAAGTCTGACTGCCTCCATCAACAGTGTCTGGCCCGTTTGTTTTGTCTGTTGTTTATGTTTATTATATTTCATCTAGTTGCTTCCTGTCCTCTTTAGTGCAAACTTGTGATCTGTGTCCTGAAATTTAAGGGAAATGCAGCAGTACTGTTTAGACGAAGTAGCATCAAAAAAACTGGAACACATATGAAATGCATAACTAAGTATGAGCCATAACTGACTCGATTAAATGGGCTGGGTCTGATTTGAAGAACAAAATCTTAATATTGAAATGGTGAGATAGCCAGAGCCTACTGTCTGAATATGTGGTTAGGTGAGTCCAATAATTACTGTCTAACAGTAGGAGGTTGCTCATAAACATGTTGTTAGCAATGGGATATAACCTGTCATCCTTGAAAGAGTCGACTTGCGAAGAGTTGATTTATGTAATATAGGGTTTCATTTACAGAGTAACTATTTGGAATTTATTCATCCCTTTTACACTGTATTCCAAAATTAGTGCACACTCATTAGTTTACCCTGTTTTTATTGTGATTGTGTTTAATTTAATTCTGTTTGGGTTTTGCAGTTGCTCCAGTCCATTGGCTTAGGAACCAGCAGGTGGCCAAGGGGCTGAGTTGATTTGGACTGTACCACATCAATGCTATGGGGAGAAATAGAGTTTTACTTTATTTGGTTTAATTAATTTTTTGTATGTTTTGCCCCATGTGTTTCTTTTGAAGACTGTTCAGCCACTATTTAAGTTCCCCTTTATGTAATTTTTGAGTTGGTCTTGTTCTGCTGCAGATATTTTGAGTAGTTTTGGTTCCTTTGACCTCTTTTTCTGAATCCATTTTTGTACTTGTAACATTTTATATTTTTGGAGGAGGCCCAGGGGGAGACCCAGGACACGCTGGAGGGACCATGTTTCTCAGCTGGCCTGGATGCGCCTTGAGATTCCCCCCAAGGGGCTAGCCCAAGTGGTTGGGGAGAGGAACGTCTGGGCCTCCCTACTGAAGCTGCTACCCCCGCAACCCGACCCCGGATAAGCGGAAGAAGATGGATGGATGGATGGATGGATGGATGGATGGATGGATGGATGGATGGATGGATGGATGGATGGATGGATGGATGGATGGATGGATGGATGGATGGATGGATGGATGGATGGATGGATGGGATTAAATAAAAGAACCCTGTTGTTGTTTTTTTATATATATATAAACATGTGCCTTATTGTCCTTACTGCATCACAGGCTTATACACAAAAGCACCAAATGTAGCTTACAGGAATCAGAAAGGGGTTCAATTCAGTAATATTTCGACACATATCACTGCCACAGTTATCTATGTAGCATTATTTATTTAATCCTTTAAAAATTAACAGTGAAATAGGTTGGATTTACACAGAGACTCATGAAAGACACGACTCACACACAGACAGAACTTAAGTCCCCAGTCAACTGGTCCCCAAAAGTACCTGTTAGTCCCCACAAAGTAACATATTCCTATGAAGTTGGCATCATACCCCCTCCACATGGTAACAAATACATGGTCACACAAACACACACAGACCTAAGGGCTATTTAGAGAGGCCATTTACCCTGAGATGTATTAGAGCTGTGAGAGTTACTGGAGTCTCCAGAGAGACATTATAAAGTCTAAGTGGAGACAGATGTGGTTCTCTGTCAGAATACTGTTAGATAACAACAGTACTGCAGTGCAATTGAACTTCGTCAAGTAAAACATGGATTTTGTGGAAGAGCCAGTGAATAAAACTATATACGGCTTGCTAGAATAAAATAGGTTGCTCTTATCTTAAACCTAAGAGGAATTAAAGTGTTCAGGAGAGGAGCAGAAATTATAATGTCTCACTAAACGCTGCCAAACTTATAGATTGAATTACAGCAGACGTTTCTTCTGAATTTACTCCTCCCTGTTGGCATATACAATTTCATCTTATGAACTGAAATTGGAGTTGATAACTTTTATCTTTGTTGATCATTATGTTGTGCACTGATGCAGAGTTTCCCACTGAAAAAGAGACTTTATCACTCATATGCAACTTGGCTGCATTCTTGACTGGCTTATCTTTTTTACAGATTGTTTTAATGAGTATAAATCTTGAGCAAAAGCCTGAACACAACCTAAAATGTTTTGAAAATGATTAAATATAATCTCCAAACTTAGTTACGTGTCTGCTTGATTTAAGTTGGAGAGTAACATTCTGCACTTGCATGTTTCTATTGTCGCCTATTCCCTCAATGATACGCAGCAAACCTTTTTTCATCAAGCAAATCCCAACCTGGAGCATAGAAATATAATACACAACTAGGTTTCATAGATTCCTTCCATTTTTATTTTTTATGTGCCTTCTTTTAATCCCAGTTTTCACTCCAGGATACAGGTCAAACTAGATCGATATTGCAGGCTGTTGCATTTATAGCTCCAGCGGTCTATTTCCCTCCTCTGAACATTTCTATTAAAGGGAGCAGTTTAAGTAAAGATAAATTCAGCACCCGTTTTCTGTCGCTGAGGAAGTAGCCAAACCGCTGGCCTCCTGAAATGATGACATTGAGCTTGCAGCGATATTACACTCTGGAGAGATAAGGGAGTGACTTTTTACCTGCGTCTTCCTCCTTTCATTCTTTCATCCTATATATCAGCCATGAATAATTCAGACCAACACTTTCCACTACAACTCTGTCTCTCTCCCATTTCTCGTTTTCCCTTCATCCACCCACCAGTCCCTCCCTCCGCGAATCACACCAGCGCCTGTCATGCAAATAGCTCTGGCATGTGCATTTGTGTTGAAGGTTTGTCTAAAAGGCTACATGGATGTGTAGTCACGTCTTTGTTATGAGAGCGTACAGCCCAGAGGCGTCAGGTGTGAGTGGGAGGATAGGCGGGAGAAGAAATGGATCAGATGCAGGTGATAGGTTCTGGAGCTATGGGAGATGTGAAGTAAGGTTAAGATGGATTTTGAATGATGGTGGGGGAAGAAAAGGTGCGGCCATGAAGACAAAGGGTTGGCATGAAGGTTCAAAATGTTAGAAGGCTGAAAATTATATGGTTAAAACCATGAGTTAGTTCTTTTAAAGTGAAGTCTGCTGCAACAGATAAGGAGATAGGAGGAGAAGATAAGGTGTGGGACAAAAAAGACAGAGAAGAAGACTGAAGGATCACAGAAATATAGCAGTCCTGGAGCAGCAATTTGTAGGACTCCTGCAGGTAAATGATAGAGACTGAAAGCAAAGAACTTTGCAGGAGATAAAAGAAAAGGATGCAGAAAAAACTTGATTGGAGGCTAGAAATTGCTGAGGTGATCACAAAAATGTGGAAGGAAAGAGACAGAACACCCACACACGCTGAAATCATGGTGATAATAAGCTGTGCTGGGCAGCAGAGAGCTCAAAGCCAGTTCATTAAAGCTGGCAGAGAGCACAAATACCAGCTGGAGTCATTCAGCTTTGGCTTAAAACTCTGTTATTAAGAAATGATTTACACCCATGCTGGGGGATAAAACAGCTGACCATCAACATGTTGGACTTAAAGCCAAAAACAACAGAGAATACAAGATTATATTATGGGCTAAGATCATGTCGACTAATGTATTATTGGCTACCTCCATAGTTCTCTGGTTGTTCAATGCTGCAGATGCACAAACTGCAGATTTAGGTGACCTGTGACAAGTATCAATAAATTCATATGTTGAAATAAAACAAAAGATATCAGAATCCTCTCTTATTCCAATCAGTCATATTGCCAAATTCCTACTTTTTTCCCCTCTTATAAAACTGTAAGCTTCTAATCAGCTTCTATGGTGGTGCGACTTCCCCTGCAGCAGAAAGTTATACATTATAGCATCCTCACATAGCTTCCTCATATAAAGCTCACACAGTGTGCTATGCATAAATCTTGTTTGATTCTATCCAGGAAACCAGAAAGAAAACCTGAACCAAAGGCAGAAGGTAAAGTAGGATTTAAGGATGAAAAATTTGACTGGAAATCAGCATATCTTCCTCCTCTGTTCCTCAGTGTTTCTGTGCTACTGCATTGTTTTCATGTTTACTGAGCTACATGCTGAATATCTGACTTAACATGCTGGGGGTGGATTTTCTTGGTATTCCCTGCCGTACTAAACAGATATATCTGTGAAACTGAGCTGAGTATTTTATTGCAAGGCTCCAGGAATGTCGCCCAGCTATTTTGGGGACCCCCTTTATGATACCGTCAGCATTTTGCTTCCTTATCAGGAATTTCTATAAAACTCTAAAAAAGTGAATGACAAGTTGCCTGATTCAGTGTCTCCTCTAATTCCCTTGGTGTATATTTTTATATTTGTCTATTGTGTTTCTGTAATGGGTTGACGACATTTGTTCCACCAAACCTGATGGACCCTAATCTTTCGACGCTTTAATAATAATTCCACTACATGGAACACTGGCACAAACACTTACTATAGTTTAACCCATTTTCAGATGTATGATAAATAACAACTCACTCCTAGCTCAAGAACTTGTGTCTCAATGAAACATGAAAATGAGTGAATTCTTTGAAATCATAATAATAATAATAATAATAATAATAATAATAATAATAATAATAATAATAATAATAATAATAATAATAATAATAATAATAATAATAATAAAAATTGAGAATAATAAAAGTTGGGTTAGGTTCTTTTTCT